GTGCATTACCTTCCCTTGGTTAAGAGGTGGCACGAGTGATTATTACTCCTGAAATCACATGGGTTCAGATTACAGGGCAATCAAATCTGAGAAGATATGGTGGCTCTTGAATGACTCAAGTTTCTATTATTAGGAGGCATTTGGCTTCATACTACAAATTAGTTCTGTGCTTGGCAAACATGGCCAATGTTGGAGCACAAGATGTTAGAACTCTTTCTGGTCGCATTTATCACTTCAAGAGAACATGAGCCATTGTTTTATAGACCCTCCTGGGATGAATGCGAAAATCATCAGGAGTATTTCTGCAACTATTCATGAAAATGCTTACCCTATCAGGGGAAGGGACCATTTTTCTCAGTAAAAAAAAAATCAGGAAATTATGGAGCTAGGTCTAAAGGTCACCTTTAACCATCTTGCCCCACTATGGAGACTCCAATGGAACGTTTTTCATTCAAAGTAGCCAGCAGGAGGCAGCTCACCATTGTGGTTGCATTACGAGTGCTTTCTTTCTTTCTTTTAAAAAAAATCATTTTATCAGGGGCTCATACAACTCTTATCACAATCCACCCATACATCCATGTGTCAAGCACGTTTGTACAATCATTGCCCTGTTATGAGTGCTTTCTAGAAGCACTAGTCAGCATTGAGTCCAGTGCAGTCAGTTTGGGTTTTTTTGTTTTTTGGGAGGGGTGTGTATAGAGCCCTGGTGGCACTCTGGACAAGTGATGGACTGCTGACTGCAAGGTTGTTGGTTCAAACTCACTGGGTGCTGCTCTGAAGAAACAAGAGGCTGTCTACTTCCATATACATTTACAGCCTCAGAGACTCTGTTCTCTGGGCCAGTATGAGACGGAATGGACTCAAGGCAGTAAGTTAAGTAGGATAGCATGTCAAGGGAATGTACAACCAGGTGGACAGGGAGGGCACTGGAATCCAAGTACAAATTAGACTCTTCATAGATTGACAATGAGGAAAACGGCCCTCCCGCCTCACTGCCCTCCGCAGATGTAAGATTATTATGGGCAGGGCCATGTTTCATTTAATAGTACAGCCTAACAGCCTGCTCAGAGCAGGCACAGAAAGAAGGGAGAGTGGAGGAAGGCCGAGATGTTTTAAGTTATGGTGCCACAAAAAATGGGAACCAGGTTACTTCCTTCATGATTGTTGTAGGGAGCCCCCAGGGAAGTGGCTGCTGGTCAAAAAGCTAAAAGTTCAAGTCCACCCAGAGTGGCCCGAGGAACAAAGGCCTGGTGATTTGCTTCTGACATCATAGCCATTGAAAACTCCTTGGAGCACAGTTCTACAACACACAGGGATCTATCTGCCTTGGGTCAGAATCCACTCCAAGGGTTTTCATTGGCTTACTGCAAACTGACCCTGCTTATAAGATCTACAATCGCTTTGTTCTTTGTCACAGCTAAATTGGCAGCTTTGCCTACACGTGCTTGGAGGACTACGTGGGGGGAGGGGAAGGGCAGGGAAGAGTACATCTATCTGGAAGTTACTCCAAATGTAGAGGACGGAAAGGAGGACTGCTTCTGCCTCCTACATTGCTGCTTGCCTCTCTGCCCAGATTTTCATACCATTCAAAGGAAAATCGTTTACGCCAATCCTCTCCATCTGAAAGGAAAGGTAGGCATGCCCAATTTTCCTATATAAATGATCTCAAACTTCCACAAAGGTGGAGGAGGGGAAAAATAATTAGACATTTAGGACTTGGTTTGAGCCTTCCATCCAGAGCTGAATTGATGGCAGCTGGGAAATAAATAAATAAATAAATAAATAAATAAATAAATATCGAGAAGTAATTCTTTTCACAAGCTGAACTAAACAAATGTCTTAGTGGACAAAGAAAATGTCAGACATTTGTCAAAAAATAATAATAACCCTTCTCAGAAATTTGCCATAGAAAGCTTGCAATAAAATGGAAAAATGCTAAGGAAATTGGGAATAAGTTGGCTGAGACAATGGTCACTGTTAGCTGTCTTTTACTCACCAATGACAACACATGTTTGGTGCAGTCTATTCTTGGTAGTTAAACACGGCTCGGATGACTGTGCTTAATTAAGTAGCACTGCACCTTATGAACCACATCGTGGCATTCTAAGTAACTCCCTATTCCTTTCTTTTCATTTCCATCTGCGCAACTCTAGATCCCAACCAAGCTTTGATGACCGGGATCTTCTCAGTCACAGTTTTCAAACCTTTACGGTTTCCGTTGAGCATGCACGGGCTTTTGGTTCATTAAATAAAAATACAAGTGATTATTTCACCACAGACTTCATTCCAGGTGATTATCTTTAATTTGACAAAAGGCAGTGTTTATGAATTCGCCTTCTTTGGGCACAGGTAATTCAGTGGTAATAAATGCCGGAACAATCTAATCTGATTATGCATCTCGTTCATCCAACAAATTTTAGTGGGTGTTTACTGTGTGCAAGGCATAGGTGCTACATGCTACAGAGACTATAAATTGTAGAATTTTGATGAAATACTTTAAAATATCTTAAGTGATCTTTATCTGCATGTGGGAAGATTAGCCTTCAACCATAAACTGCTCAGACCTGGTTTTCTTGACGCTTTAAACATATTATGTTCTAGCTTTTTGGAAACAATGCACCTTTTCTCTTCTCAAAGAGGGGGAAAATCAATGTAGACCTTTGGGCCCCTAATCTAAAATCTCAGTTGGTGGTCTTATGATGCTTGAAGCTTGAGACTTGAGACGTGGGAGTTGTAACCTCATTCTTCCCCCTCCCTCTGCAAGAGTCTCATTCTGAGGTACACACAGAAGCCTGGCTCTGCAAGCCCAGAGTGTCACTGGGAAGGGAAACACATCCTGGGAAACATGAGGATTGGCCTAATCCAGTAAATCCAAGCATGGTTTAGCTGGGAGCGCTCCTGCCCAGTGTTCTTTCTGCAAATGATTAAGATGAGACCCAGGGAGATAGACATGATCTGGGTTAGCTAAGAGCTAAAATCTAAACACAACTTTGTTTTAAAGTCTGGACCAGACCCATCCCCTCACCCAGGCCTAAATAATTCTTATCATGCATTTGGGACCAAACAGGGTCTACTGTGGATAGGTACATATAGGCACTTATTAGTGGCTACATATCGACTGCCCTATTGGATTTGTTGAAGAATTTGAACCCATGAAGTATTAACCAAGGGAAAGGGGTGGGAGGCGAGGGTGGGGGCCTTACTGCCATTGAGGGGATTCCGACTCATAGCAATTCTATAGGGAAGTGCAGAACCGCCTCTGTGGATTTCCAAGCCTGATTCTTCAGGGGAGTAAGACACTCTTGGGGGCGGTAGTTTCAAACCTCTGACCTTGAGGTTAGCGGCTGAAAGCATTAGCGACTGTGCCGGTACTAGGTTGTGTAATACATTTCCGATAAGAGGAACTTTTGAAATGAATCACAACAGCACGTTCGGGCTCCATCTACGAGTCTGCGCGTGAAAGGCCTTGTCCAGAGCACAGGCGACCCTGGTTCTGCTGCCCAGGACGAGACTGGAGGGAGCCTGAGTTTGGGCCAGCGACCAAAAGACACGCTAGAGGGAGACTTCAAGCTGGCCTTTGTGCAAGGGCTGCCTCTGGAGACCCAGGCAGTCTGGTCGCTTCCTCTCGCTCTCCGCGACCCTGGGGGTGGGGGTGGGGGCTGCTGAGGTTGTAGCCCAAGGCTGTGGGAAGCTGAAACGGTTCACAAGCACCCCAGCGAAGCCACTGCCAGCAGAGCGCCACTCCACCCCCGGGCCTCCCCCATGTGCGTGCTGGTACTTGAGCTCTACTCTCGGACAGTTTCAGCCCAGATTTGGATCTGCTCTCCTGCTGCCGCGCCCAGTCCCCTCCGAAACTCCTGGAGCTAAGCGGAGGGGGCTTCACTTGGCCTTTTCCAGGGGCTCCCCCTCCTCCACGGGCTACACCCTTATTGGAAATCAGCGATCTGACTCCAGGCACTGCTGGCAGGGCCGGTGGGCGCGTGGGGGTCCCAGCTCTCCGTGTCAGGCGGTGTCCCCCGCCCCCAACGCCCATACTCACGCAACTCCTAACTCAACTCCACACTGGACGCCTTCCCGCCAGTGGGGAGTCTGGCCCAGCTGCCTACGGGCACCAGGTTGGTGGGTGGGCCCCTGGGAAGGCACTAACCTGGCCTTGAACCCCACGACCCTTGCAAATAACCCACCGCGGGGCCAATCATTCAACTGGACGGCAAGGTCAAAGGCGAATCCAATAGTGAGATTGGAGGCCCAGCTGGCAGGCGGTGCCTCCAGAGGGGGTAGGCGGGAATGACGTGGACAGAATGGAACGGCGTGGTCACCAGGGGCCTCGCGCAGGCAGGTTAGCACCCAGGCGGCGCCGGCGACAGGAGGCGCGGTGGGGAGGCCGGGCGGCTGCCCGCAGCTCCCTGGCTCTGCCCGCGCCGCCTGCGCATTCTTGGCTGCAGGCGTCACGAGCCACCCGGCTGCCGGCGCTCACGTTACAGACCCCCCCCACTCCCCAAGCGCGGACTCTGCACGTAACCGCGGAGCTCCTGGGGGTTTCTCCCTCCTCCCACCACCCCCGCCGTCACCCTTCTCCCAGACTACAAGCAGGTTAGATCCCGGAGAGGCGCCCGGTGCCAGAGGAGCAGTTCGTTCCCAGGCAGCTCACTCTCACCCCCGACCCCTTTGCTCCCCACCCCGCCAGCAGCGGGCCACCTGGGTCACCCCGGAGCGCCCCCAACACCAGGGGCTCCGACCTCGGGGTCACGTTGCAAACGCACAGACACTTCTGCCACCTTTAGCAACCACCCCCCCCCTTCCCCACCATTGCCCCCACTTAGAGTGGACAAAATTGCCACCCAGCAGGGAACGTGGGAATCTCTCCGAGGGGGCAAAGTTAACCGAGGGGCTACGAGCGCTGGAGCGCTGGGGTCCAGGCCAAAAGCGAACGCGCGGATACCCGCCGCCCACCCCGGCAGACCCCCTCCTGGCGCCACGCGGCCCGCGGAGTCGCTTACCCGAAGTGTCCCACAGGCTCAACTCGATTCTTTGTGTGTCGATTTCAAAACTGGCCGTGTAATTCTCAAACACTGTAGGGACGTAATTCTGAGCAAACAAAATCGATCGGGAGAGAAGGGGAGAGGGCAACCAGGTTAGCTGGAAATGCACAACCCCTCTGAAAATCGCCTGTCCCCACAGCCCAGCGGGAAAGCGCGCCCCAGGCTCCATGCGGGGACCCTTTCCCAAACCTTGATCGGAGCCGCCTCCGCTCCAGCCTGCTGGCGGGGTCGGGAGCACCCAGGAAGGCACACGTTTCTGAAGCTCACAGCCCCAAGTGCGGTGCGCCCCAACCCCTACCGGCTCCCTGCCCACTTTCCCTTTCCAGCACTCTAACCTGGGGGAAAGCACTCCGCATGAGAAAAACGACTTAAAAGGGGCGGCTGGGGGGCGGGGGGGCTACTATAAAGTGAGGAAGCACAGGAAGAAGGCCACCCCAGATGAGGGGCCGGCGGCTGCCCGCGCCTCTCTGAGCCCGGGCCGGCCACACTCACCTCTGGGAAGCAGTCCTTGGCGAACACATGCAGCAGCGCGGTTTTCCCACACTGACTGTCTCCCACCACCACGATCTTGCATTTCACGTTCTGATTAGGATCCATGATCGATTTACTGGATAATTTCTGGCTGGCTCTTCTCTCCTTCATTGATCTTGCCTTATTTTCTCTTGGAACAGTAATTTTTTCTTGAAAGGAAAAAATATATATATAATTTTTCTCTATATAAAAAAAACTGATATAAAAATAAATCGCAAGGCTGCGGGAACCCCTGAAATGCAGCGTGGACGAGGAGGGGAGAGAGTGGAGCCGACTCTTTCCTCCCCTCCAACAAGTTTTACGCCCGACTCCACACCTAGCCTCCCAAGTCCAATTCCGCTCCGACTGCTTTGTTTCACGCTCTCTGCGCCGCTTTATACGCCGAGGCCTTCCAATCCTCTTCTTTCTCAATGAGAGAAGGAAGCTGGCCCGCCTCCTCCCCTTTTATGGAGCCTGGGAGCCGGCGCCTTCGCTTTGCAGGCGGAAAATGTAAGCAGCGCGCCCTCTAGCGTGAGCAAGCGGCATCTAGAATGGAATGGAAGAAAACGTCTGGGCAGCTTAGTCTTCCCTATAACTCCTTTAAAAAATGTTTGCAAGGGATTGATCTACAGAAGCCTCATGCACATTTGTGCGAGCAAAAATCCTTTCCATTCAAGTTATAACAGCAAGAACAAGCCTTGGGTGGAGAAGGCTCAATAGGTTGTATTTTAAAGTTATATCAGCCATATAGGCCATGGAAGAATGTCAAAGCCAGGCTATTATAGTAGAGGGAACTGGCTTGCCCGGATCTTGATATAAAACGGCTTTCTGAAAGCTTCCGTCTAACCACTTAGGACAAATGATGGGGAAGGTGGGAGAGGAGGAGAAAGAAAATGAAAGAAACGTATAATCCAGTGACAGCACTCATTGGGAAGTGAAACATAGCACCAGAGACCCAAACAGTAAGGCTGGCCTAGATCTCCCCATTTCAGTGAGAAGAGAATAGGAAGGCTGCCCCTGAAACTCCTCAGGAAACAAAACCCACTGCCATTGAGCTGATTCTGAGTCACAGCAACCTTAATAGGTAGGACCTTTTAGAAACAAGGATGACAAGACTTTGTCTCACATGCCTACGCCATGTTGATCAGGAGAGACCATGCTTGGTGAAGTTGAGGGGCACTGAAAGAGAGGAAGGCGGTTGACAAGATGGATTGATGCAGTGGCTGGACCAATGAGCCCAAACAAAAGAACAACTGTGAGGATGGCGTAGAAGTGGACAGTGCTTTCTTCAGTTGTGCAGTGGGTCCCTCTGAGTCAGAACTGACTCAATGGCCCCTTCTGGAATCACCCTAGGCTAGACCAAAATGGCAGAAAAGTCCTTAGTTAAATAAAAGATGTAGCTATTCCCACTTCCTTCTCCAAAGGATCCCAGAGAGAACTAGAAACAGCTGGGGTTTGTATTCTCTCTCCCCTGATCAGGCTTTCCTTTCTGACTTCCAAATCCTATACATTATTGGTTAGGAGGTTTCAATTATTAAATTGTAGTAAGATCATTGGTCACAACCAACTGACTGGTCCCCTTATGGGGACGTCCAGGCTTGTAAAGGAAAAGAGGTGAGGTGGGAATAAAAACCAGATGTTTCCGTCTGGGAGGGAGTGAGGCAATGAAGGGTGGTTACAAACACCATTGAAAGCACTGAGGCGGCTAGCTCATAAAGCCTCGGGGGTTCTGGAGTCATCTCCTCTTCCTTTCCTGAGGGGAGAGCACTAGAATCCCAGAAAGGAGGGCCGGATGGGAACTCACTGTGTGGGGTTATGTTTACACAGCTGGGGGCTGACCTACAGAAAAGGGACTAGTTGGCCCTGCTGGGGTTCCCAAAGCTGCCTTTGCCAAAGTTTTTTTTTTTTCTCTCCCAGAACTTTAGTTTCCTCCTCACAAAAAGGGTTCCAATTAGTGATGGAAACCCCATGTTCTCTAGACCATCCAATGGAAGTCTACCACAGCGATGGCTATCTAGTTGATTCTGACTCATGACAGCACTTGGCTGCCAAAGATAACTGTGCTCCAAGGGCCAGTATCTTGGAGATAGATGGCTTGGCCTTTCTGCCCAGCTCTTTGAGTGAAGTTAGCACACGAACAGTTTGCAAGCTGTATCTACAGTTTCTTGGTTTCCTTGCTTGCTTACGTGAGAAGCAATAGGCATTGGGGTTGGAGGCTGAAATCACAGCGTGGTGGATTTGGGTCATGAACTTCACATTTTCTAGCTGTGTGACCTTGGCTGAGTTATGTAACCTCTTATAGCCTTAATCTCCCCACCTGTGAAAAAAAATAGTCCTAATCATAATCATGAGGAAAGACTGAGAGGTTTTGCAGAACTGTCTCTCGCACCACACAGAGGCCTGGCAGGAAGTTTTGATTTGCATGTAACTCACTTGCCCTTCTTAAATCAATGGCACATACCTTGATACATGTTCATTAGGGTATTCACTCATTGAAACCAAGGGGGTAACTGAGGGGACAGGTCTGCCCTGTCTTTGCTCAGATTTTTATTTAAGAAGTTGCTCCTTCCCAGAAATATGGTCCCATAGCCTACATTCTTGCATTGATACAACCAGTGTGTTACTCTAAGCTGCAGTGTTTATGAATTATTACAAATTGACTGATCAATGAATAGGGTAACAATATGATTTATCAACTAAGCTAGAGCCCTTTTGAAAGCAAAAGGGAGCCGTACTAATGATTATGTCAAGACAGTAGCCATATTAAATGGATCTGTCACAGGCAAATAGAGACATAATCACTAACAAATGAATAATTTGGAATCACTGTGGATGACAATTTTGAGAAATCAGATGACCTGAATCTCTAGGAAATCAGTTAGTTGTCCTGCAAAATGTAATGTCTCCATAACAGAGTAGAAATAAAACCTGAAAACTCAAAACATCTGTTTGAAGTCATCAAACCTAATGCCCACCTTGTGGTGGACAGTTAATATTTCTTTATATGCAACTAACATTTTACTCAAAAAATATTGCTTAGGTCCTGTTCTATGTCATGCACTGTTCTAGGAATTGTAGATATAAACAAGTCAATCCTGTTCGCCACTTTAATAGTCTATCTGTTCATGACAGGGGGTAGAAATACTTAAGGGACTGAGCACCAGTAAAAATAAATGCGTTAAACTCTATCAAGTAAATAACATGGATTACCTGATGAAGTTTAATAGAGTGGGGGTTAGACAACGGTGGGACAGTGTTTCCCTAAAGAGATGTAGTCTTCAATGATAAGAATAAGTCCGTCACGAGACTGACCAGAGGAAGAAAGTTTGAGGCAAGAGACCACACGGTGGAAAGGCTGGGTGGAGGAAAAGAGCAGGGTGCACTTGAGGAATGGAAGGAAGGCCACACAGATTGAGGACACTGAAGGACAGAGAGTTGGGAGAGAAACATAAAGGAAACAGGTAGATCATAATATATTTTTGTTGTTTGTGATTGGTTGTTTGTTTATTAGGGGCACCCCTACCCCACCCCACTCACCCATAGAAACTTCACCCTTGCAGGCACAAAAGGAGCTGAATTCCAGGCTCAGAAAGAAAGTTAATTGAAAAAGTCACATCTAGGGGTAGCATGTGATTGACAAACACAATAGTCCTGTGTTCTCTCTATGAGCACTGACTACAAGGCAGGAAAGTTTGGTTTCAGTCCAGGTTAAGCCAATGTATTCTATGACCTTAGGCAAACACCGACTGAATTCTTTTCCCCATTTTCATCCTTACATGAAGATGATAATATCTGCTTCCTTTAAATTGCACAACGGGGCTGCTTAGAAATCCACTTGCCAGTGCTTTTACTCACACTTCTTTATAAGCACCTGTAGACAGTCCTCACTTGGAGACGTAGTTAGGTTCTAAAGACTGGGACATTGTGCATAAATAAGTGCTATGCAAAAATGGAGGATGATCACATCAGGTCCCCCAAATGTAGGATGCTTACATCATAACATTCCTGTCAAATAAGATCAGGATATATCAGCCAAACCACTGACAATCATGGCCCAATCAAGTTGACACATAACTTTTACCTTCCTAACAGGGTACCTCTCCTCTCCCACACCAGTGTTACAGCTAGCTGTACCTCATTAATGTGCAAAATACATTGTAGATGTTTTACTATTGTCATAAATGTGAAATATTGACTGTCAATAAGGGAGCAATAGGTATACACATACCTCCCCTTTCATGTTTGGTATATATATATAGTTTTGATATATATTTTTAGAGCTCACAGTTGAATCATTTAAGGCAGTGGTTCTCAATCTGTGGGTCACAACCCTTTTGGGGATTGAATGACTCTTTCACAGGGATCCCCTGATTCATAACAGTAGCAAAATGACAGTTAAGAAGTAGCAATGTAAATAATTTTATGGTTGAGGGGTCACCACAACAATAGGAACTATATTAAGGGGTCACAGCATTAGGAAGGTTGAGAACCACTGATTTAGGGCATAATTCAAATACTTTTTGTGGTTGTCTGCCTCTCTTCAGACTCCACCAAGAGCAGTTCAAGGATCAAGTGCATACGAGGAGAAAGCTCAGATCTTTACCAGCATCATCAATAAAGCAAAGGGACTCCATTTAGAAAAGAAAGCTTGCAGGACACCTTCATAGATTGTATATCAGAACATAAGGATATGGGTCATAAGTATTGTCTTAGATAATGTAATAAGGTGGTGAGTATAAAAGGAGGCCTGATGGTGCATGTGGATTAAGCGTTGTCCTGCTAACCATAAGGTCAGCAGTTCAAACCTACCAGCTGTTCCACAGAAGAAAGATGAGGCTGTCCATTTCCATAAAGATTTATAGGCTAAGAAACCTTAAGGAGAAATTCTACTCTATCATATAGTCTCACTACTACGTAATAGTAGGGGGATTTAGATGGCTATGAAGTGATTTCAAATATTTGAAGTTCAATATAAGAACAAGAGTATAAATATGTGACCTGTTTTTTCCCCTGAAGGAGAGTACTTTCACAATTGTCTCCTTTTTGAGGGGGTCATGAGGGTAACCATTTACCTGTTCTAACAAATATCAACAACATCATCATCAACAACAAAATTCACTGCCATCAAGTTGATTCTGACTCATAATGATCGTCTACAGCTGTAAATCATTATAGAGGAAGACAGCTTCATCTTTAGTTGGTGGGTTTGAACCACCAACTTTGTGGTTAGCACCCTAGTGCCTAATCTAGAGCAGCAACACAGGAGACAATGTTTGGGAGAAAGAGAAATTGAGAAAGGAAGGTTCATGAAATTCACCAGACTACATGCTTGGTATTTGGGAAGAGTGGTTCTCTCGAAGGAAAATATT